TGGGCGCGCAGCGCTTCTCGGTGGCCGGCGCCGCCTTCCCGGCCGACTTCTGCGAGGGCACCTTGCCCTACTCCTACAACCTGTGCGTGGCGGCGCCGGCCCGCGCCGTGCCCGAGGCCGCTTGGCCGCCGCCGCCGCCGCCGGTGCCCGTCCTGTCGGCGGAGGAGCTTCTGGGCGGCGATTCCTGCGAGAAGCCGAGCCTGAACAGTACCGCCGTAACAGGAGAGCCACCGGCCGATCTCGACGCCGCTCAGGTCTGTAAAGCAAATTCCTTCCTTCCTCGCCATTAAATAATGGCATGCTGGTGCCTGTAAGCTCTTGCCTTTTTTTTTTTTTTTTTTTTTTTTTTTCCCCGGCGTCCCTTAGTGGTTATGTTTTATTCCATGATGCCGTGAAATTATGGCTTCTCGTGTTTCTTTTTTGCATCAAGTGTTTCGAACCGGCAGTTGTTGCCTCATCTGCTTTAAGATTGGTCGGCTCACTGAGAGGTTCTTACCGTTCAACTGTTCTGAAGCACACCTGATTCATGACACATTCTGGTTTATCTGAAAGACTTTATCTAAAAAAATTATGGTTTCCTTACTGTTACTTGTTATTAACAAGGGAGGCAGTCTTTATTGTGTAGAATGCGATGTACATGACAGGCTTGTTGTGGAGAGTTTTCCTTCTGAATAATTTTTTGTCAGAGCTAGGTGCTTGAACCTTCTGATAGGGGTCCACTCCAAACTCCTTCTTTTGAGGGAAGGCTACCATAGTAATGCTTGCTCTAATGAGTCGCGTTAATTTAGCATTTCAGAAAAGCTCTGTGTATTAAGTGAGTATTAGGTCTGAGTGAGCATTGTCATGCATATATTGAGTAAAACTGTAGTAAAAAGTTGTGATGGGAGAACGGGCAGTAATACAGACTGAATCAGAATACTGTCTGATTTGCTGGTGCAAAATAGCAACGACCTCCCCTGCAGTGCTGCATTTCGTGAACATTTTGAACTTTGTGAACATTGTGACTGTTCATGAGAAGTTTTCCTATTCTTTAACACTATTTGGTCTGCTGAAATACTGTTCGTCAAGCACGACTCGTATAAAAACTAGAATTGGTGGAGGAGTTTGCGCATTTGGATGTATGTAGTAAAACTCATGATACCCCAAACGTCATACTCACAGACAGTTTCATCTATGTTATACGATCATGATAGAGACATTTACCGGGCGGTAGAAATAGCATAATCACAAAAGGCGTGTTACTTCTGTCACGTCGTCATGGGTAGAGGATGGAAACAGAGATCAGCTGGACAAAAGCCGAAGCAGGAGATCCGCGCTGGACAAAAAGCGACGTTTTCTTTGCGGTTATGTTGCCACAGCGCGAGATGTCCGTGAGCAGAGCGGGCAGAGCTCGGCAGCGCGCGGTGCCTGCAGTGCCGGGAGGAGGCTGCGGGCGCCGCTGCTGACCGAGAGGAGCGAGAGGAGCTCGGAGCGCCGCAGCCCCGCCCGCTGCGGATCCGCTCGCTCGGCTGCTCGCTCCCTGTCCGAACCTGCGGTCTGCGATCATCCCCGCGGTGCTGGCCCACTCTGCAGCCAGGCGGAGGGACCGGCAGCTGTGCACGGTGCAGAAGCTGAGAAAATTGAGTGGCAGCGGGATTGGATCGGCGCTGTTACGGTACTGGCAGAGCCGCGCTGGAGATGTGCGCGGCGGGGAGGCGCTGGGGCCGGCGGCAGCGAGCTCTGCTCTGGGCCGTGCTGCTGGCAGCGTGGGAGGCGGCGTGGGGGCAGCTGCGCTACTCCGTGCCCGAGGAGATGCCCAAGGGCTCGTTCGTGGGCGACGTGATCAAGGACCTGGGGCTGCAGCTGCCGGAGCTCCGAGACCGCGATATCCACATCATAGATAGAGGTCGGACGCAGTATTTCGCTTTGCACGGGAAGACGGGACATTTAGTGGTGGCGGAGAGGATCGACAGAGAGCAGCTTTGCCGGCTCATGGACAAATGCGTGCTGCGCTGTGAGCTCATAGTGGAGGGGAAAATGGAGATTTATGAAATCGAAGTGGAAATCACGGACATTAATGATAACTCCCCCCGCTTCAAAGACATTGAACTTGAAGAGAAAATAAGCGAGATGACAGCCCCGGGGTCTCGGTTTCCCCTGGCCGAGGCTCATGATCATGACTCGGGCCGGAATTCCCTGCAGAGCTACGAGCTGAGCGGCGACGAGCACTTCTCGCTGGCCGTGCAGGCGGGCCCCGGCGGCGATCAGCGTCCCGAGCTGGTGCTGGCGAAGGCGCTGGACCGGGAGGAGGCAGCGTTTCACGAGCTGCTGCTGAGGGCGATGGACGGCGGCGATCCGGCACGGACGGGCACGGCTCGGATCCGCGTGACGGTGCTGGACGTGAACGACAACGCGCCCGTGTTCAGCCAGGCGGAGTACACGGTGCGTGTGCCCGAGGACGTGCTCGTGGGCTCTGTCCTCCTCACCGTAACAGCTTCTGACGCCGACGAGGGGTCGAATGGACACGTGAAATACTCGTTGAAGAAACAGACTGACGTGGCATTGGGTATTTTCGATCTGAATTCTGAGTCTGGAGAGATCATCCTTATGCGAAGCCTGGACTTCGAGCAAGAGGATGCTTATGAGCTGGAGATTCAATCGCGGGATGGCGGCAGCCTTTTCGACACAGCCAAAGTTGTGATCACTGTGACAGACGTCAACGACAACGCTCCTGCACTGACAGTAACATCTCAGCTGAGAGGGATCTCTGAGGACTCTCCTCCGGGGACTCTGGTAGCCCTGCTGCACGTGGAGGATCGGGACTCGGGGGCCAACGGCGCGGTGCGCTGCTTGCTCGACAAGGACGTCCCGTTCCGGATGCAGAGCTTGAAGGGCAGTTACTACAGCGTGGTGACAGCGAGAGAGCTGGACCGGGAGCAGGTGTCGGAGTACAACGTGACGGTGCGAGCGGCCGACGGCGGGTCGCCGGCGCTGCAGAGCAGCGCGGTGCTGGCGCTGCGGGTGCTGGACGTGAACGACAACGCGCCGGTGTTCGCGGAGGAGCGCTACAGCGCGCGGCTGGCGGAGAACAACGCGGCGGGCGCTCTGGTGCTGAGGGTGCGCGCCACGGACGCGGACTGGGGGCAGAACGCGCGCGTGCGCTACCGGCTGGCGGAGGGGCGGGTGCGGGGCGCGCCGCTGTCGTCGTTCGTGTCGGTGCAGGCGGAGACGGGCGCGCTGTACGCGCTGCGCTCCTTCGACTACGAGCAGCTGCGCGAGCTGCAGCTGTGGGTGCGTGCGGAGGACGGCGGCGCGCCGGCGCTGGGCAGCAACGTGTCG